GGAATCCCACTGAAATGGGCCAGCAGTCCATGGAAAACTAACGATGAAGAGACCCGAAAGTTCAGTGCCTTGCCACACACATTAACACACATTCTTATCTAAAATAGGAGGAGAATATAGAACTTAATGCTAAGCAAATATTCTGAGTCTCATCAAAGGCTTACAGTCATTTTTGGAAGAAATGCATAGATTTTAAAAACAATGGAAATCAAAAGGACTCAGAAGGACACAAATATTTCAAAGCAGAAACAAAACAAACGACAAAAAATTTACTAATTTCAAACAATTATAAAAACCTAATAGGCTTTCATACATACCACAGGATGCATGAAATGTGTTGAAGGGTGTTTAGGGAGTACAGGTTAGGGAGAGGTTGTAAACATGATTAAATATTTTTATGAAATGAACAAAAATTCAGTAAAATATATATCTTGAAAAAATATTGTAAGAGAAAAAATCAGCCAGATATGAAAAAGCTAAATAAAAAATTAAATGACGTGATACTTGTATACTAGTAATTTCCTTTACTTAGGACCTCTCACCCAGGCCCGTCCTTCATCCACTCATACCTACCTGGTTGGCTACAGTCTCCCCTCTCTTCACATTCCAGGGCTCTTTGCTTTGCTCCAGACAGGAGACCAGAACAGGCTGACACACAGCAAGACCTGTGTATGAGAAAGAGGCACATGACACTTGCTGGACTCTCTAGAAAGTACCAGGCTTCTAACACAGTGGACAAAAAGAGAGGACTCTCCAAATTTCTCAATTATTCTTTTAGGACAGACTCATTAGATACTTAGGAATTTTCTCAGTTTTCATATGCTGAGTTCTATCATAATAATTTCTCAATTATTCTTTTAGGACAGACTCATTAGATACTCAGGAATTTTCTCAGTTTTCATACGCTGAGTTCTACACTGATTCACAATGCAGCTATGGAAATGGAACTTTGAGATTCTGGCTACAGTATCATGTGCTAATGGGTGACTGAAATTAATACCAAAAACAATGATATTTCTAACAACTGAAAATGGAAAGAAATGATAAAAATAAACAAGCTGTTGATGCCCAAACATTCCAAATGCACTAATTATGAAGGAATCCAAGACCTAGTCAGCAAAACTAACATATGTACAAAGTACACTGCTATCTGTCAAAGGATACAGAACAGTAAGAAATTCTCAAAGAAAAATGTCCTCACCTATGGACACCAGATTGTTGTAGTTCTCCAACATCACCTCACTGTACAAAGCCCTCTGAGCAGAGTCTAGGCATTCCCACTCCTCCTGGGAGAAGTCAAAGGACACATCTGGGAAAGTCAATGGATCCTAAAAAGAAAAATCACAACTGGACCATGTACCCATGAACAGGGAACTGGACTCCAGGCAAAACAGATAATTAGTCAAGAAGTTCTGAAGTAGAGGAGCAATTTGAATTATTCAAAAGGATATTTCTAGGCCAGGCGTGGTGGTGCACACCTTTAATCCCAGCACTTGGGAGGTAGAGGCAGGCTAATCTTTGTGTATGTAAAAAAAAAAGGGGGGGAGGTAAAGGGGAAGGGAAGAAAGGCTGTACATACAAAGAAGTATGGGAATAACGGGAAAAAAATGTTTCCAGATACACTGTTTAAAAAAAAAAAAAAAAAAGCCGTAAGCCCAGAAGGAACATTATGAAAGCTCTTCGAGAAGCAATACTGTTGTTAAATGAAAATCCCAGTGCCAGAGGTGGGTTGCCCCACTATGAGGTCCCCCAAACAATAAAGGCCATTGCCAACAATGTTGCATGTACACCGGAAGTGGACAGAAAAACCCCATTGCTGAAGACACTGTCTGATGAAAGCCCAGAAGAGGGAGAAATCAAGCTTGGACTAAGCTGCAAACTTCCTCCCACTGGATGGTTGGCTTTCATGGTGCCAAAGGGTGACATGCAGAAGACTGTGGGAGAATCGTCCCCGTTTAATCCCGCTCAAAGATGGATGTGTTGAATATCCCAGTCTCGGAAAGACAAAAGCCCTATATTTTTCTCATTTATGGAGCCTAGATTTAAATGTTAATTTGGAGTCTCAAAAAGCTAGAGACAGATTGGGGGAAATGAGGGGAGGGAGTCTTATGTGTAAAGGATGGAATAGAACATATGTCATATGAAGGTAGGGGTGGAGTACTGGAATTCAGCCATACTAAGACTCAGTCAAAAACTGATAATCAAAGAGGGAACAACAGAAAAACAGTAGAGGAAATGACTCTGCAGGGAAAAATGTTACAGGAACAAGGGTAAGTGGCGTGGGGCTACTTTAAGAAGCAAATGAAGGAGAGGTGACATTCACTTGTATGCAAATGGAAAAGCATATAAAACTCTACATATGAAAAATTATCCAGCTGGGTGTGGTGGAGCCTTTGATCCCCGCACTTGGGAGGCAGAGGCGGGCAGATCTCTGTGAGTTCAAGGCCAGCCTGGTCTACATAGTGAGTTTGAGGACCGCTGGGGCTATAGGGATCCCCTGTCTCAAAAAAAAAAAAAAAAAAAAAAAAATCCAATTAATTTATGAAAAATGAAATAACTTGTTTTATGTGAATTACATGAACTTCCTTGACCAGAAAGACAGGTCTTAGAAATATTCCCTGATAGAATTACACATAACAATTAGAAACTCGAGAGGTGAAAATTGCATCCCAAACAGTAGAAAGAATAAAGAATGGCAAAAACTTGCCGTGTGAAATGAAAGCATGATAATGTGTATGAGGAGCACTAAAGGGACTGTGAGGGAGGACAAGGAAGAGGGAGGGCAGTGAGAGGGGGGATCAGAAACAGAAAGTGTAGATGAACATGCAATATGGAAACTCTTGAGTTTTAAAGCTGATTTTTAAAATGAATATATAAGCTGGGCATGGTGGAACACACCTTTGATCCCAGCACTCGGGAGGCAGAGGCAGGCAAGTGTCTGAGTTCAAGGCCAGCCTGGTCTACATAGTCAGTTCCAGGCCAGCTGGGGCTACAGGGAGACAAAAAAAAGTGAATATATTCGGGTCCTACCATCACATCCTGGTGGATGTCAAGAGCAGGGGCAACGGCCAGTATTGCTTGAAGGGCTATGGGACCCCAAGTCAATAGCTTCAGAAAAATGAATGCATTCCTGGCATTGGGCTACTTCTCTTCTAACCTATGGCTTCTACTGGGGAAATGTGCACCTGTTATGAGGCATCTCCTTTTTAATGTGTTAAAAATGTGTATGAATATACATTAAGAAGCTTCTATAGTGGTAGGGCTACTTAACCCTCTGAATACTCCCTCCTCTGTCCTGGCCTCCTCTTCCACGTCCCCATTGAACTCTTCCTTTGCTAGTTCCCTTTCGCCCTGTATATCAGTGCGTTCTGTCTCACTTCCCATGAAGACCCCACACCGCTCCAAGGCTGTTTATTCATTTTCTGAGCTCTCTATTTTCCAGTAGAAACATGCATATCCAGAAATTCAAAGCTACCAGTCACCTATAAAAGAGAAAATGCAACATGCTTCTTTCTGGGTCTGGATACCTCACTCAGGAAGATGTTTCCCCTTCCAACCAGCTGCCTGTAAATTTCACACTTTTGTTTTTCATAAGAGCTGAATAACATCCCATTGCGTAAAGGTCTCAAGTTTTCATTATATATTCCTAAGTGGATGAAAATCTGGGTTGTGTAAAAAGCAGCCGTGAACATGGAAGAACAGGTGTGCCAGATAGTTTTAGTGTCAACTTGACACACTTGGGTTGAGGGAACCTCAACTGGGGAATTTCCTCTATTGGACTGGCCTGTGGCCATGTCTGAAGGGCATCTTCTTGATGAGTGATGTGGGAGGGCCCAGCCCACTGTGGGTGGTGCCACCCCTGGGCAGGTGGGCCTGTGTTGCATAAGAAAGCTGGCTGAGCAGGGGCCAGGGAGCAAGCCAGTAAGCAGTGATTCTCCAGGGCCTGTGCTCCAGCTCCTGCTTCCAGGTTCCTGCCCTGAGTTCCTACCTTGGACTCCTGGGTGAACTATGACCGGCGATATGTAAGCTAAATAAACTCCTTCATCCCCAAGATGGTAGTGGTTAGAGTATTTTGTCACAGCAATGAAGAACAAACTAGGACAGAAAAGTTATCTCTGTTGTGTGTAGTCTTGGAGGTATCTGCCCAAGTGTGGTATGGCTGGGTCAATCAAATCATGGTAGATTGACTTCCACCTTTTTTGAGGAACCTCCACACTGATTTCCACTTTGGCTGCCCCAGTCCACATTCCCACAAAAGGTGTAAAAGAGTCACCTTTTCACGCATCCTTGAAAATGTTTTTCAGTTGTTTGTTCTTTGGATGTTAGCTGAGGTGAGTGGGGTAATAAGAAATCTCAAAATGGTTTTAACTTGGATTTCCCTCATGACTACTGATGCTGAACATTTTTAGAGAAGTTCTTAGGCATTTGCATTTCATTCTTGGAGATCTTTCTGTTCAGCCCCTGGCCCTATGTGAAACTGGATTGTATCATTCTTAATATTCAATATTTTGAGTTTGTTTTATATTCTAGACACTAGCCCTCTGTTACCACAAGAAATTGATGACTAGAAGAAAAAAATTTCTATATAAGTCAAGCTGGTACTGACTTCAAAGCTTCATCTCTACTGGCTAGCCTTCTTTGTACCGGAAGGTGCTTTGAAGGTGCTTGTACGACAAGAGAAAATTACTCATCAACCTTACCCAGCTGTTAATTCTGTGAGCTACAACAACTGGACTGGAACAATATGTTCTTTGGTGAAACAGAGACACTAATACTATGGGAATAACCAACCACATTGTAATTGGATTTAAACCTTTATAAGGTGGAACCATATCTGACATTGGAATGAGGATATCAATGGATATCCATCATAAGACAGAACCTAGTACTATTATTCAACTAGATATATATAGTATTAAATGGATTCCTAATGACTTATTGCTATACCAATAGATGAACGCATCTCTCGACTCTCAGTAACGACACTTCTGTACACAGCACTCGGTGATTCACACAAAGACCCACAACTGGTTGATTTGCAGACAATTAGACTTCACAGTACCTGTCCCTGAGTAGGACACATACATCAAAATTCTGTCTCCTAAGCCTCAGGGATCACTGCAGAAGAGCAGACAGAAATATTGGAAAAGCCAGAGATGGTAACACAAGGAAATAAGAGATTTACAGACAGCTGGGAAGTTACTCATATGAACTCACACCAATGGTGAAAGCATGCACAAGTCCCACATAAGCTCAAGACAGAGAAACTCCCAGGATAGACATGGAAAGTGAGTAAGAAACCCCAACCCTACCTCTCTACTTGAAGAAGTATTGGCCAACAGAGGCTACTGGGAGGGGGAGAAGGAGTCTCTTTCTTAGGAGCTTTTATCTAATCCCTAAAAGATTTTAGAGTTACCTCTTCAGAGGGGGGGATGTTAGAGAAGCAATACACTCAAGAAGAAAGAAAGAAAGAAAGAAAGAAAGAAAGAAAGAAAGAAAGAAAGAAAGAAAGAAAGAAAGAAACCACAATGCTGCTTGACAAAGCACTGGCCACCATGGCAACTGGAAGGGGGAGAAAGAGTCTACATACCTTAACCAGACTCCACTGGATGAACCCATATCCACATATATATATATATACATAGAGAGAGAAACAGAAGGAGAGAACACAAAGTTGGGTAGGGATAGTAAAGGGCGTGCAGATAGTGCAGAGTTTCTAAATATGATCATTGTATACTATAAAAATTCCATGGATGCATGGAATAGTAATCACACGAGCAGAGTATTTCCTACAAGGTGAAAAGATAACTATCCCATGTGCGTAAAATTTTGAAATAATACATAAAAGTTATATTTTTAAAAGAAAAAGTGAATACATTGAATCATCTACTACAGCTGCTCAGAAGTAGAGCCTGAGATCACGCACAACAGGAGGATGTGCAGCTTCCCAAACGCAGAGAACACTGTCAGGATGGACTGGGCAACAGAGGGGTGAGTCTCAAATATTATACAAGGTCAGGATTTCTCCATCTCTCTTCTCCCCAATCTGGGACACAGACATCAACCGTAAGAAGAAAACAGAGGAATCCACAAATGCCATGTCAAAGTCACACATACTAAACACATTAGAATCTAACATAGGAAGAGAATGCAGAACTTCATACTAAGCAAATATTCTGAGTCTCATCAAAGGCTCACAGTCATTTTTGGAAGAAATGCATTGATTTTAAAAACAATGGACATCACAAGGAATCAGAAGGGCAGAGATATTTTCAAAGCAGAAACAAAACAAAAAGACACAAAAGTTACTAATTTCAAAATATGTAAAAACTTCACTTACTAGGCATTAATATATATCACAGAATGCATGAAATTTTTGGGGGGGTATAGAGGCAGTGCAGGTGAGGGATGGGTGTAACACAATTAAACCTTTTTAATGAAATGCACAAAAAGCTAAAAAAATATATATATTGAGACAATTTTGTAAGAGAAAAATACCAGCCATTATCTTGCACTGGCAAGAAATTATACATGAGCAATATGGGAAAATTAAATACAAATAAATGAACTGATATTTGCATACTAGTAATTTCTACATAATTCCTGTGCAATAAAAAGTCATTTGACATTTACTACAGAACAAATCTTGATGAAATTGTCATAAATTAAACTATCAGAATCTCTAGTGAAAGAGACTACGGCAAAACCATGCTCAGGTCTTTATCCTTCTTTACTTAGGACCTCTCACCTGGGCCCGTCCTTCATCCACTCAAACCTACCTGGTTGGCTACAGTCTCCCCTCTCTTCACATCCCAGGGCTCTTTGTTTTGCTCTAGACAGGAGACCAGACCAGGCTGACACACAGCAAGACCTGTGTATGAGAAAGAGGCACATGATGCTTCTAGGATCCTTTAGAAAGCACCAGGTTTCTAACACAGGACTGTGCCCCACTGATAATAGAAAAAGAGAGGACTCTCCAAATAATTTCTCAATCATTCTTTAAGATAGACTCATTAGAATATGTAGGAATTTTTTTTCAGTTTTCATATGGTGAGTTCTATGACTGATTCAAAACACAGCTATGAAATGGAACTTTAACATGCTGCTGATGCCCAAACATTCCAAATGCACTAATTATGAAGGAATCCAAGACCTAGTCAGCAAAACTAATACATGTACAACGTTCACTGCTATCTGTCAAAGGATGCAGAACAGTAAGAAATTCTCAAAGAAAAATCTCCTCACCTATGGACACCAGATTGCTGTAGTTCTCCAACATCACCTCCCTGTACAAAGCCCTCTGAGCAGAGTCTAGACATTCCCACTCCTCTTGGGAGAAGTCAAAGGACACATCCGTGAAAAAAAACTAATACATGTACAACGTTCACTGCTATCTGTCAAAGGATGCAGAACAGTAAGAAATTCTCAAAGAAAAATCTCCTCACCTATGGACACCAGATTGCTGTAGTTCTCCAACATCACCTCCCTGTACAAAGCCCTCTGAGCAGAGTCTAGACATTCCCACTCCTCCTGGGAGAAGTCAAAGGACACATCCGTGAAAGTCAATGGATTCTAAAAAGAAAAATGACAAGTTGATCATGTACCCATGAACGGGGTACTGGACCCATAGAAAAAAAAAAGATAATTAGTAAAGACATTCTGAAGTAGAGGAGCAATCTGAATTATTCAAAAGGATATTTCCATTTATTTATTTATTATTTTTGGTCTATCTTGAGATAGGGCCTCCTTGTAGCCCCAGCTTTCTTTGAATTCACTATGTAGACCAGGCTGGCCTTGAAATATAAGAGATCCACCTGCCTCTGCCTCCTGAATGCTGGGATTAAAGGCATGCACATCACACTTCGCTAAAATGGAATAGGTCTCTATAATCTACTCCCTAAATCTACTCAACAAAGAACATCATCAGATCCTCAAAATGTTTGTGCAGATCATGATTTTTAAGGAGCACAGCACATAAATTAAGCCCTCAACATAGGAATACCATTGCCCTCCTGTATTTGTAACACACAAGATCAAATATATTTATTTATTCCATGTTAAGTCATGTCGATTCTTAAGTCTGCTTCATGAATTTGAATGTTTATAACCAAACACTGTAGTACTAACTAAAACATAGATTTTGACTTAACAGGATCTGTGGTTGGGCCTGACTTAACCTTTTCCTAACTGGCTTTTCAGTGAGGCCAGTGACCCAGGTAGAAAGGACACATTCTCCAGCAGCACAGAGCAGATCATGGCAGAAGAATAAAGGAGGAGTTTAAATGAAGAGTTCCAAGGACTGCGTGCACTCTCCCTCATCAACAAGAACAGACACAATCCTGTGCCCTAGAACCTGTACGTAATGAAGACATCATGGAAACATTAGAGCAGAAAACATTCTAAAAAAATCTTTTCATGCTACTTTCTCTTTTTAATCTTCATTTACGTACTTAAAATTTACCTAAGGAACACACTGGCCGACTTACGCACACCACATTAAGAGGATCTGGAAACTGAGCTCCTCACCGCAGAGAGTAATGAAAACACAAAGACAAGATCCAACACTGACTGAACAATGTTCATGCTGTACACAAAGATGCTTCCAAATCAGACAACTACACGTGTCTAACATTTGGTAAACAGAGCATGTTTCTAAGGTTGAAAGAACAAGTAACGGAAGAAGTGCTGGGAGCTGAGTGTGATAGAAATACCAAGAGAACGAGGCTGCTTCAGAATCTGGAAAACTGAGTATTTAGCAAACAAACGGGAAAGGTTTCTTCCTCCAAAGAAAGGAAGGAAACTGCACTGATGAAAGGAGAGATTCTGCAGTAAATGTCATGATCCGTGTGCTTCACTCTGTAAACTACCAGAAGAAAACTTATTCCTAATAAATTAAAAACAATGTCAAAGTCTGGAATTTGGTGTAGAGCAGCTCAACCAAGGGAATCAACTTCCAGGAGTCAAAAGAATACACTTATCAGCAAACCCAGCAACACATTCCATCAGGGCTGTGATGTGGGTGGGATTAAAATGATAAGCAAAGTAAAACAGTATCTGAATAAAACAAAAATAACATTTTATGTACAGTTCAAAGACCAATACAGTGGCATATGACGATCCAAGTCCATCTTCCTTAGGAACTGAAGACTGACATGTTTCAATTTTCATGTATCACATCAGAAACATTTTTGACACGGTTGGTCATGTAGTCATTGGATTAGTCTGGAAGAAATAAGCACTGGAGGACAGAACGGAGAGCGAGCTATGCTACACAGGTGATACATATGTAAAGAGATGATGTGGGTCAGGAATGTTGGCCGAAGTCTTTAATCCCAGGACTCTGAAGGCACAGGCATGCTGATCTCTAGCATATCCAGGCCATCCTAGTCTACGTAGCAAGTCTAAAACAGCAAATATATACATATACATATGTGTATGTGTGTGTGTGTACATCTTTTTGAGACTAAGTCTGTAGGTACCCCTGGAAGTTTCTAGGTAGACCAGGCTGGCCTTGAACTCATTAGGAGCCCACTGCCACTACCTCCAAACTGCTGGGATTAAAGCCATGCAACACCAACCCAGCTTAAAATGGCAAACATTTTCAATAGCAAAGTGTACGGGGCCATGCCTTTTTATTTATTTACCTGAAAAGAAGCCATCTCTCTTCTTCATGAATTTCTTCTCCAGGCAATCTTAATATGTGTATGTGTGTGTGTGTACATCTTTTTGAGACTAAGTCTGTAGGTACCCCTGGAAGTTTCTAGGTAGACCAGGCTGGCCTTGAACTCATTAGGAGCCCACTGCCACTACCTCCAAACTGCTGGGATTAAAGCCATGCACCACCAACCCAGCTTAAAATGGCAAACATTTTCAATAGCAAAGTGTACGGGTTCATGCCTTTTTATTTATTTACCTGAAAAGAAGCCATCTCTCTTCTTCATGAATTTCTTCTCCAGGCAATCTTACATAAATTGTCTGCCTTTCTTCTGAGAAACTTCTTTTCAGTTCACTGAAAATCCACTTCACCTGCCAACGTAACAAGAGGAAGAAGCACCTCAGAAAACAAATCGGGCTGTTCTCACTGTCCGCCATCACAGTAGATGTGTAGGAAGAAAGAGCTCAACATGGAGACCCCATAGAAGTTTCTGCTTTCCTGCCTTCCAGTGGCCGCCCTGCCGGAGTAACACGGTTTTCATCCTTTGGAATAGAGGCTACACTAAGCTTTCCTTCAGAAGCACTGGCAGCTGACCCCCAGCCTCACTGTCTTCTGCCTGCGACTGTTAATGAAACACCACTGATGCTTCCCCTGAGCTTCATAGATGTTGGGGAACCCTGCTGTTGACCCTCCTGTTGCAATGGAGCTCAATGCTAAATAGAGGACTCCTTTCTCAGCACGGGCTTCTTGCTCTCGGCCTGACCTTATTTGGAACATGATCTTTGGCACAGTTACCTGCAAAAACTGCCCCCAGGTTTTTTCTATGATAATTAGGCATTGCCCTATAGCTAGATGATAGGGTCCTCCTGCCACATGTAAATAAAGCATACTATGAACACCTATCAGGTGAAGCTTTGGCTGCCGCCTTCAACCTACATTTTTTCCTGACCCCCACTGAATAAGCGAGCTGTCTCACTGAAGCTGACTCCCGGAAAACTCATGGCTGTCCTGACCCCGTTCGTCGCCTCTGCTCCATTTGTTCTCATGGATCAACAGCCCAGGAGGGAAGGGAGAGACCCACACATAGAATCTGGGTGTCTCAACTTCCTTTACCTGATACAGTGTCCACCAGATCAATCCTGTTTTCAAGTACGAGAGGCTTCTACTCTTTCTTATGATGGAATTGTGGTATATTCTTTAGAAACATCACATTTCAGCAAATCTTTCATTTGTTAATGGGCATTTCAGCAGATTCCCTAGTCTTCAAACAGTGCTGCCATAATTAGGGAGCGCACATATCTCTATGCCACACTGAATTCATTTCCTTCGAGTATGTATTCAGGGTATGGTGGCAGGAGCCACACTGGAGAGAGAACACCTGTGCCTTCCTTTTTGGCATCTGCTTTACCTCACTCAGTCCAGCAATTTCTAGTTCCATCCATTTACCTGAAAATTCCTTATTTCTTCTCCTTTACCACTGAGAACTCATTGTATAAATGTACCAAATTTACATGCTCAATTCACAGGCTGAGGGACATTTAGGGTGTACATCTGAATTTCAAAGTAGAATAGAAGTTTTTGGGGGGGGGTTGTTTTGTGTCTTTGGGAAACAGGGTCTCCCTGTAGCCCCAGCTGTCCTAGAACTCACTATGTAGACCAGGCTGGCCTTGAACTCATAGAGATGTGCCTGCCTCTGCCTCCCAAGTGCAGGGATTAAAGGAGGGTGCCACCACCGGAGTACGCCCGGCCCTTGTATTTTTTTTTTTTTTTAAACTCTGGTTTATCATTGAACTGGCTCAGCAAACATACCTAAGTTACTCCATTTTGTTCAGAGCCATTTTAGCAGCAACTTTGCTCCACACCATGTGGAAAAGGGGGGGGAACCTTGGGACTTGGCAAATTGTCTTAGCCATGAACCATGGAATGTGCTAATTTCAGACATTCTACATCTGGCTAACCAGCTTGTTTTCGCTTCTGTAATCCGCTTGCTATTTTGGGTCGCCTTGACACAGAGCATAAGATCACCCTGTCCTCCTGTTATTGTGTGCCCACCTGGAAGTTGTTTACCTTGGCTGTCTTAGTATACTTATTATGGCTAGAACAGTTGGCTAGTTTTAAGGTCACAAAGTTGGATGCCAAGTTATGTGATTAAATCACTTATAATGATTGGTTGCTAATTACTAAAATTAGAATTCTGTTATGTTGTACGACCCTGATTGGTGAAGGCAGATTTTGCTTATGCTATGCTTACTGTAATCCTATAAAAACTCTGATCGATCAATATTCAGGGCTGCTTCTACTCCCGAGATAGACAGCTTGGCTGGTCAAAAAATAAATTTACCTTGCTACTTTTCTTAAAGTGGTGTTGGTGGTGATTTTTTTTGCAAACTCTGTCTTTTACCAATTATGTACTTAACTGAGACATTACATGTGTCTCTTCTGATGAATTGGGAGGGCTTTGGTTGAAATTAAGACTTTCACATTCTTGAAATTTCATGAGCAATATTTAAGGAGCAGTCAATCTAGTATAATTAGGCTTATAAGGCAGTTTTCAGCCTCAAAACTATCCTGTGACATTTCTTCCATTTTACGTAAAGAACAAAATACCACATTGCACCTCCTAAATGCATATAGCCCTTCTTTGTCAAAAATTAATATTAAGGGGCTGGTAGATGGCTTAGAGGTTAAGAACAATGACTACTTTTGCAGAGGGCCCAGGCTTGATTCCCAGCACCCACACTGGAGCTAACAATCACCTATAACTATGGATATGGGGATGTGACACACTCTACTGACCTCCTTGCATGACATGCAAGCAATACACTCAACACATAAAATAATTATAATAAAACATTTTTTAAAATTAATATTAAAAGGGGAAACTATTCTGCAATTTGCATTTTAATTTACGGATGTCTGACTCCATGTCTCACAAATGTACTTTCTAATTGATGATAATTTGTTTCCACACTAACAAAGTGTGCAGGGATGTGTCCCCCAGGATCACCTGCCTCGAGTGTGTTTCAGGACATCACCATCACCTCCAGCACCCCAGGTGGTCACAGCGTAACAAACAAGATGCTCTAACAACTTTGTATGGCTGTGCTGGGTGGTTCATGATGTCAGCCTTTAGAAAGGACCTGGATTTCTAACACAATAGTGAGCTCAATAGATAAGGAGAGAACACAACAGGGAATTCGACTAATGATTCCCAATTAGAAGATTCTGTCAGAACACTGATAATATTTACAGAGCTTTTTCAGTTTGCAGAATTGGTGTTCCGTTTCCAATTATAGCTCAGCCACAATTCCAGGTTCAAATGGGGCTTTATGATTGGAGTGACACTGAGGAGGCAGAGGCAGGCAGATCTCTGTGAGTTTGAGGCCAGCCTGGTCTACATAACGAGTTCCATGCCAGCTGGGGCTACAGGGAAACCACCTCAAAAAGACCAAAAAAAAAAAAAAAAAAAAAAAAAATTTCTGAATTTCTCATGGAACAACAATGAAAGAAGCATAATTCCTCCCAAAGGACAAACATGAGAACACAGTTACAGCGTTCTTTTCTCCTCTGAGAATTTCACTTTATGAGATGTGAGACTCATTCACACAAAGTTAGTGCATGCACACACACACACACACACACACACAAACTCACACACACACAATACTTCCTCAAGGAACTCTGAGTATGAGAAAAAATTCTTTAAAAAAAAAAATTCTCACCAACAGAAAGAGAGCAGTAATTCTCCACTGTCAGGTCTCTGTACAAAGCACTCTCAGCAGGATCTAGGCACTCCAGATTCTCCTGTGAGAAGTTCACAAGCCACTTCACTGAATGTCACCACATAGTGAAATGAACAATAACAGTTTGACCATGTCCACAGGCAGACTGCATTTCTTGAATCGAGGAGACTAAAGAGACTGAGAGGCATTTTCTGACGTAGGGAGGATCATAATACTCTGAAGATGCTTTCGGACATTGCCATATTCTCTACTGTGTTTTCTAACTGTGGAAATAGTAAGGCAGCATATCCTGATATTCAGTGACCCTAACCCCCCCCCCCCCCCCCCCCCATCTTTTTGAGACAGGGTATCTCTGTACACACAGCTGGCCTGGAACTCCCTATGTGAGCCAGGCTGGCCTCGAACTCACAGAGGCCTGCCTCTGCCTCCTGAGTCCTGGGACTAATATAGGGTCTAAAACTAAGATCTGGACGTAAGAGTATGCATTTTAATGCTGGATTCATATCATACATTATATATTCCAAATGGAACATTAGTGTTGAATTGAAAGTTTACTTAAATGTTCATGCTTACACCTAAAACTACGGATGTCCGCTAAAATATCTACTCTGATTCAATGCAGTCTAGAAGCATTCCTTCCATGACTAATTCTACCACCTGCTCTAGGGAGGGCAAGTCCCTCTGTTCACTCTGTTCAAACGCCAGTCCCTTAGATACCGAAAAGTAGAACATGGAAGTCAAAAGGCACGATGAATTTACACTAGAACAGCTTTGCTTTTTCCACAACAGCAAGGGGGGGGGACATCAGCGCATTAATTCAACTAGTCTACTTGACTGTTTTTATGAGAAAATCTTGAAAACCATAAAGTCTGATGAAAATCAGGATTCGTCTTAATTCATATGATCTTAAATTTAGCTGAATGTAATAACCTTTAATAATCTAAATCTAAGAGGATGCACAGCCAACATATCCAAACGTCTACAACTGAACTTTGAGACCTTCGCTCCTTGCTGTAGATGAGCAAGAACAAAGTTTAAATCCTGGGTGAGTTTCGAGGACCTGCCTCTGCCCGAGCCCCCAACTCTGACTGCAGGGCGTCCCGGTCCAAACGGATCACATGACCAGGAGTCTTTCCCGCGGCTGCAGTTCGTCCGCACTCTCCTCCCACCTACCGGTCCCTCCGACCCGCCCCGCATCCGCTCTGCACCAACCGCTCTAAGTGGTTCCCACGGCTGGGGTGAACGTTCTCACCACCGCCTGTTCCGCACCACGCTGCACTGCGAGTGGCTTGCTCCCTCGGTCTACGTGGAGTTTTCCGGCCCGGCGAGTTCCGAGTGTCCCGCCGGAAGTTGGCGCGTCTCCGCCTCTGCTCTGGCCCCGCCCACTCCGGCCCACGTTTTGCCAGGAAATGGATGTCTCGGGAAGCGCCACAGGAAGCCCATAGCTAACCAGGGCCTGAATTCTTCCTGCAGTGTTCAGCAGTCACCATCAGAGGGCGGTCTTGCCGTTTTCCTAACTATTTTGCCTTGTATAGAAGTGCTTTTAGGCAAAGCACAGAAAATTCCTATTTAAAAACTCACAGAAAGGAATATGCAGGAATTTTAGGACAGCATTAAAAGGCAAACCCTGCAAGTTATAGACAGGAGAAAGAGAACTCCAGGACAAAGGAATGGATAATATTTTAAATTCAATCATAGAATGGCTCCCACATCTACAGAAAAGTTATCCAGTCAAGTAAAGAAGCCCACAGAACATCAGACAGAGAGGACCAGAGGTCCAGGGCACATCATAGCAACAACACTAAAGATAAAGACTAAACAAAGGTATTGAAAGTTGCAAGAGAGAAGACCAAGACCCCATAAACACAGACCCATCAAAATAACAAGAGATTATTCAATGGAAACTTTTTAAAAATTTTTATTTATTATTTTTATTGTGTGTGCGCGTGCATTGCTTGCATGTAGGTAAGTGCACCGGTGTCGTGCAATAGCTGCGGAGGTCAGAAGAGGTGGTTGGATCCCCTGGGACTGGAGGTATGGACATGTAGGTGCTGGGATTCGAACCTGGGTCTTCTGCGAGAACAACAGTGTTCTTAACCACTGAGCCATCTCTCCAGCCCTTCAATGGAAACTTTTAAAGTCTGAAGGGCTTGCAAAGATTTTTTTTCTTTTCACGACTGCCAACACTGTTAAACTTCACAAAAGTACCAAAAGAGAAGTAATGGGTTTTCATGACAGGGACTAAAGGAATATATGACCACTACACTGGCTCTACAGAAGCTACTGGAAGAAACACTAGGAACAGAAGACAGGGATTAACACATGCAGACGTCACAGGTGAAAAAGAATGGCAAAACTGTTCCTCAGGAGGACCTAAGAAAGGGAACAAAATCAATGAAAGGACAGGAGTTAATACAGAATAACTCTGAATATTAATGGTCACAAATCCTTGCAGTAAAAGGGACAGAGGAACAGACTGGATTAGGGAAGAGGAGCCATCTGCTTGCTGCCTCAAAGAAACACGTGTTGCCAGCAAAGAGAGACACCACCTCAGGGTAAAGGGTTGGTAAAAGCTACTCCATCATGGAACTAGTAAACAAGCAGGCATATCTACTCAAATAACACACAAGATAGATTTGAAACTGAATTTAGCAGAAGGGATGAACAACACTTTATCCTCATTAAGGGAATAATTGATCAAAAGGACACTACAATTCTAAGGATGTACACACCAAAGATAGATTCTCTAGGTTTAATACTAACAAATAATATTACATGAAACACTACTACATGAAAAACAACAGATTAACCCCAACACATTAATAGTGGGAGACTTCAATACTTCACTATCACTGAGAGAGGTCATCTGGACAAAAAATGAACGTAGAAACATAAATTGGGTGAATCTATATATCAAATGCATCAAACAGACATCTACAGGACATTACACTCAAACACAGAAGGATACCAATTCTTCTTACCAGCCCATGAACCTTCTCCAAAATAGACCCCAGATTGGGAGCAGAGCAGGCCTCAAGAAATTGAGGAACACTGAAATTTGTTGACTTTCTATGCACCACTGACAAGTATACAGAATAAAAAATCAGGACAACAATCCCCTTCACAACGGCCACCCCAAAAATAAAATACCCAAGAATAAACCTAACAAAGGAAATGAAAGAAGTCCACACTAATAGCATTCAGACACTGAGAAAAGAAATGAAGAAAATGCCAGAAGATAAAAAGGCTGTCCAAGATGAAGGTATGGAAGAATTAATCTTGGGCCAATGGTCATCCTACCAAAAGCAATCTAGTTTCATTCCCACTTGAATCCAAATTCTAGGGCCAGAGCTGGAGAGATGGGTCAGTAGTTAAAAGCACTGGCTGTTCCTCCAAAGGGCCAGCGTTCAGTTCCCAGCAGCCACTGGGCTGCTAACAACCATCCATAACCTAAGTTCCAGGGATAGGGATCTGACACCCTATTATGGCCTCCACAAGCACTTATGCATAGGTACATTTACATACATTCTTGCAAAATGTCACTCATCATCCAACCTCAAAATAGATATGTTAGATACCCATTTGAGGTCTCAAGAAAATAACCATACAATTCAAAGTATTTTTGCAAAGTAAAACTCTTCTGCAGAATGATGCATCTATGCTACTAAAGCCTGCAAGGAAGCACAGACAGAAAATGTCCTGCTGGGTTTATTCCCAACAGAATGGCTCCCTCTATGTGGTCAGAGCTCAGCCTCACATTCTTATGTAATTAGCTGAGTCAAAGTGAGGAAGCGGAGATGTAGAATGCAATTTTCAGCAGGGACTGCAACCTGAAACATACTTGATTTCAAGAAGGGAGGACCTTGGAGGAATTTGAATTTGTGCAAAGTGACTTATTTGCCTATTTTGTTTTTGCATGATTTTATTTTTTTCTTATTCAGCCCTTTGATAGAAAACTTAGTACATTTCTTTAACATTTCCCACAAACTAGAATCTGTTTGTAAAATGGAGTTTGGAGAAAGAGTTTCACACAGTATAAAGTAACCATGGCAGGGAACAGCCTGATCTCTATTGTCTCCAACTAAGTAGGCGTTCTCTTCAGGGCTTCTGTGACCTTCCTGTGCAGATGTGAAAGGGTAGGTTGGATTGCTGTAGAATATTCTTCCAACAAGGTTCAGCATTCATGATCATGAAGAGATGGCTAACAGTCTGCACAGTTGACCTCTTCGCCCAGGAGTCTCCCAAGTAAGATGATATTTGTAATTATATATATTTCTTTCTGGGAAAGAAGAGTTAAGTTATTGAGATTGAGTAAATCCACAAAAATCAAAGCTCCTCTTATTTAGGTACATGAAGGCAATTTGGAATAAGGACTCTTCCCAATACCCGATCCAATTTCCATCCTCACAACTAAGTTACCCTGTGGTCCCAGTCACCTGAGACCTCATTGGGGTATGTTAGTGATGTGAACTCTGCCATTTGATCCTTAGCGCGTCCATCTGAAACATGGAGCAGACCAAGAATTCTGGGTCTCAGCAAATGGGACACCAGAAATATTTTCAAAATTGCATTTGTGTCCGGTAGTCTTTATAAAGGTGGGTGCCTACTTCCAATTTATGAAGCTTAGTCCTCCAAAACAGATAAAAACCATCAGGACAGAGATCACAGTTAAAGGGTTAGGACAAGAGAAATGCCTGTCTCTCGGCTGCGTGCTCTTAAACACCGAGCCATCTCTCCAGCTCTGTTATGAAGCTTAGTCCTCCAAAACAGATAAAAACCATCAGGACAGAGATCACGGTTAAAGGGTTAGGACAAGAGAAATGCCTGTCTCTCAGCTGCTTGCTCTTAAACACCGAGCCATCTCTCCAGCTCTGTGAGTTTTTGGTTTTTTTTTTATGTTTTTATTAATTCTTTTAAATGTGTTTTGACTATATTTGGATGCCTGTCCCCGTGTCCACCTCATGCTACTACCACCAAGCCTGACACCATGTCCTCTGTTAGTACAGTTTTTGAAAGAAACATGCAGTGTAATTTTTGTTCCCCAAATGTTCTCTGGTGTGGGTCTGTCCTTCAGAGACTTGACGACTTGCCCAGCATCTTTCTTCATGTAATCTTATTTGGGTTATTTTTTAGCAAAAGTTGCTCCCCAAATCCTCCTATTTTCTTTTTGTCCATTTTCTACCAGCCAAACGACAAGATCAAAATAATTTCATGTCTGAAAAATGTTTTGCTAAGGTATGAATATTTTTGACCAAATAAGCTTCATTCTTCTGTTAAAAACTAATCCTTGACACCATGTTACCAGTAATTGTGACATGATGGAAGATGAGTAAGTCTGGAGGGTTCCAAAATCAAGAATACTGTTAGTCCTTTTTAAGAGAAGTTAAGGGAGTCTCATTATCCCTTCAGCCATGTGGGAATGGAACAAATAAGTGTCCTCGCCACATATCAGTGGACTCAGCAGCCATGGAATTTACTGATGACAACATCTAGTACTTTCCAGTCTCTAGGGCTGAGAGCATAACCCAGTCTACAGTCTACTGTTCTATCACCTCCACAGACTCTGTGCTCATCGTTCTTCTCCTGGAATTTTAGCTCCAGTTATCAACCTGTTTATTTTTTTCACCAATCAGCCTGTCTCATAAGACAAGCCTTCCTCATTTTTTTGGGTTTACCTTGGCAAAAATCATTTGTGTACTTGTATATAAAATTTGTTCAATACTCATACAGCTCGATTTTCTCATATCTATATAAGAAAATTTGAATTTTTTTTTTTTACACACAAAGTCAACAAAATGCAATACTACCAGGAAGGGGAAATGTAAATACCCTGCTCAGCATGCATCTAGGAGGCTGGGTGCTCCTAGGTATTTCTAGTGAATACAGCACAGATATATGCTCTTTGATGTTACATCATGTCTGTTTCTTTGTAGAACAGATTGAAACTCCATACTATGCATGAGAAAGATGTTATAGTTCAGTGTCATCAATACTTAATTTTGGAGGAAAATTTGCTCTTAGATGTCTGTCAGTTATGCAACTGAAAAAAATATATTTGGAATCCCTGAAGTCTTAGTAAAGGGCTAGCAAGGGCTGATAAATTTCCATGTATTAACATGATCAGGGGAATTAAAATCTGCGTGGAATAATTAGTCAAACATATTCATCTGGGACCAAATGTTTTTTAGAAACTCTGCCAATTCCACCTATAGAACCAGAATGACAAGATTCAGGGAGTCAATGGGATAAGCAGAAGGGAGAGAACTCCTGTAACCTGTGGACGTGTCCATTGGGAAGAGCAGAAAGAAGAGCTCCCTGTGATCCATGGGTTATACTGTCTATAGCAGATCAAACCTAACTCAGGCATGCATTGTGTTCAGCTCATAGGACTACGTGTTTGTGTGAGAACACAGCACAGGCTAGGTTGATCTTGTGAAGGCAATCTCTCAGAGCCTTTTAAAGAAATCTCTACATGCATTCTGCTAAGAGGACATGGAGTGCTCTGACCATACGTACGCTTCAAACAAGAATCTTGGTTTCTGAATAATAGTAAAGGAAAAATACAATCTAGGTCTTCCAACTGGGCCTGCTCTGCACTACTGCCTAGTGATACCTGGGTTACTTACAGAGTTTCACTTCTCAGACCTTCAGGAACTGACGAGTCTTGACACGCCACTTTCATCTGTATCACATTTACCTTTCACATGAAACTCAGTGTATTTTCAAGGATTACTGCACATTAATGAGATTTCAATTCCTATTTTCTCTCTCATTGTAAATACAGTCCCCACAGTTTAATACAATAGGTGTTTAGGAAAGGCACGGGTGACCAGGTGTTATATATTGGCAATTTCCTAAGGCTCTAACATCCTGAGGTAATTGATTAGAACACTGAATCTGATTCAAGTGACATTTTGAGAGTGCTGAGTTCATAAAATGTGAGTGGACACTCCAAAGTACTCAAAAGCATCTGCAATGGAAAAAAGCTGTAAACCTAAACAAATAAATGCAGAGAAACAATAGTGGGACGATGCCTGTGTAGCTGGGGGTGAAAAAAAACCTAGACAAAGATGAATTGAAACAATTATAATTGAAATGTATTGCCCTGAAAAAGTCAATACTTTTCATAACCCTTAAAAATGAAGACTAAATAAAACTTGAACTGTTTTTCACTTATGAGGAGAGATGCTGAGCATATCTTTTAAAGAATGTTTACATTTGGTTCTTCTCTATAGAGTAGTTCATATTTACAACTTCAATCCTAAGTACCGTTGTGCTACATGAAATCATTTGAAATCCCTGATGTGGTAAAGGAACTACATAATTTTCTAATGTAAAATATGTACCACTTCTCACATGTATACTATGCAAGGAAACCACATAGGTTTTGCACAGGGATATTCAGAAACATTGAGATTTGTGAACTTTTAGGTACTGTGTAGAGTCAAACTTAGGGCCTCTAACCCTAGGCATCTAACCCTACTAAAATCAGAACCTGAGGTATGAAACACCCTCATGTTCCATGTATAGCAGAGCAAATAAGTTCCCTTTCATCACTTCCACTGTTTTGTTGGCTAGTAAGTCATGGATCTTAGGTCATGGTTATAAATTAGTATCCCAGAGCCTCACGTGTTGAATATTTGGACTGTAGACATCCGGATTAGAAAAGGATTTATGGGCTACTAAAATCAGAACCTGAGGTATGAAACACCCTCATGTTCCATGTATAGCAGAGCAAATAAGTTCCCTTTCATCACTTCCACTGTTTTGTTGGCTAGTAAGTCATGGATCTTAGGTCATGGTTATAAATTAGTATCCCAGAGCCTCACGTGTTGAATATTTGGACTGTAGACATCCGGATTAGAAAAGGATTTATGGGAAAGTGATTGGATCATAAGGGATGTAACCATGACTTCATAGCTGTTCCTCCATTCAGCCCTGATTGGAGGAAGTACGTCACTGATGTACAGCAATTAAGCACATATTTTGTCTCTGCCCTCAGAAAGACTTTTTCTATCTCTGTCTCATCTCTCTGCTTCCTGCTCTCCCTTTCCTTCTGGATGAGAACTGTTCCTTCTGCCCATGATTACCAGACTCCTACATGCTGTTTTTCCAGAAGCCATATAAATAGAAATAAAGCCTCGTCACTTTACATCATTTTTCAGGTATTTTGTCACAGTAGAGGAATTTCACTCCCACATTAACCTCTGTGAATTTATCTGTGGTCACCTGTTTCCTTACATGTCAGAAGGTACACAAACATGCAAGCAATCCTGTATGTTCTCATAGTCCTAAACTTTACCAGAGTCTCACATGTTCACACCTTTT